TATCGTTTCGATACTTTACAACTCCTGAATGTTAATATAATTACGGAATTTTATAAATATCTATTGTATGATTATAGAAAGATTAACAATTTTCTAAAATGCTTACAAAACTTAAAGGATTATAACTAAATACTAAATATTAATTAAATATTAACTAAATAGAGATTGTTATTATACGAAATCGTAAATAATGATCTATTATTTTATTATTTGCAATTGTATTGGCATTCCTTTCCATAAATAATTTTACCTTTTCTAAAAAAGATTTATATACGGAAGAAATAATCATCTTGATAATATACATAATAGCTTTAAGAGATTACAAACGAAATTACAAAGAGATTATAAAAGAAATTTTTGAACTTTAAAATTAGAAAACTAATAAAAAATTTTATTTGTTAATATATAGACTTTAATCTTTCGAATCGTCCCTATGGAATTCAAAATCCTTGAAATGACAATAATCATAGTTCGAAGGAAAATGTTGCAACATATCTAAACGTTGCGTTCTTAAAACAGCAACGTTCATTACAAATGCAACAACTATGGGATTTAATTGCGAGAAATGCGGTGAAGGTTGCAAGAACATTCTGAACAACTTTTCTCAGAGAGTGACATACACATATATTTATATGCATACGTTTCTACCTTCAATGAGTTTCTTATAGAACCGATGACAATAGAAATAACGGTTACTTGTTTTGCGAGAAGAAACACCGGATACTAGAGGATCCGCTTTTTCTTCTAACTGGTGTAATAGTACAGACACGCTCTAAAAAATATAATCTCTCTCATTCAACATATAGTTTTTCGATCATTATATTATTTCTATTTTCTTAATATTCATCATTTCTAATTCGTTTTTTCTGAGTTAATCCTTTTATAATGATTATTTTTTGGATGTTTCAGACAAAATGTTTGCTATGAATACGGATTAAGTTGAATTTTTGCATTTATTATCAAATTCAATTAATCTATTCCGTTCTGTCTTGAATTATGAAAAATATTTTGTTTAATACTTTCAAAATAAAGTAATCTTGTAAACAAATATTCTTCAATAAACATACAAACATTGTATATTACAATTAACATGATTAAAATTAAATATGATGACATATCATATGTTGTAAATAAGAATCAAACAATGTTTATATATATANGCATCGATCGATAACGCATAAACCATTCAGTTCAACGAATTCTAAAGAAATAAACCTTCAGGCGATAGTTTAGAAAGGTGACTTTCATCGATACACTATATAACTTTTATTGGACATGTTTCTGCACACCTGCCTTCGAGTGTTACGTGACATATATCCTAGAGGCAGGATGCGTTTGCTCTATCAAGGATAAAACATATTTCGAAATCTATTCATAACTATTTTTCTTCGTCATCGAGATTGTAAAAGAAATATCATCTTATGTCGTATCCACATTGATTAGAAATTATTTATAAACTCTTGAAAAGTTTTTAGAACTTGTGAACAATTTACAAGTAATTATAACATTATAGGTTTTAATTATACACATTTTAATATTGTAAAATTAACCTTGTTTAAAAAGAACTTGCGAATCTATGATTATTTTTGATACAGTCTTAAATTATAATAAAATTAAATAATAAAAATTAAATAAAATAAATAAAATAAAATTAAATTAAATAAATAAGTTTAGATTTGATATAGATCAGTTAAATCTTTTGTCTCGGTTACTATTTCCTAAAACAATTGAAACTTAATATATATTAATTTCATTTTACATTCATATTTACTCTTATAAATAATAATTAATTGTTTGAGTAAATCATAGAATAAATAATTTATTAAATATTTCTTAGATTATAATTATATTTTTATTAATAAGTTATATAAAAAATA